CTCTAAATAGGTAGCAATCACCTTGAAAAAGCCAGGAGGAGTCACGAAGCCAACCCGCTACAGAAAAGGCCCCTGTGCTGTATTCGTGTCCTCTTGCTGCGTGACTCGCTTCCCCCGGTGATCCCAATGTAATCAACTTTACCTGAACAATTATACTTGTAATCTTACTGACTGACCATCACTTTGTCCCACCTCATGCCCACCTTGCGATTTATTTATTTATTTATTTATTTTGTCTTTTTGAGACAGGGTCTCGCTATGCAGTTCAGGATGGTCTTGAACTCACTTTGTAGACCAGGCTGGCCTCGAATTCAAAACAGTCCTCCTGCCTCAGCCTCCCAAGTGCTGGGATTACGGGCGTGCGCCATCACGCCTGGCTCACCTTGTGATTTCCCTTTTTTTTCCTCACCTTAGACCCGTCTCACCTCATGGCTTTGCTCTATGAATTCCCTAGGAAAGGTAGAGTCCGTGGCAACCCACTTAGGTCCCCTTCTGTCCCTATCTCAGAGAAAAGCTTTCTTTCCCTCAATAAATATATTCTGCTCTTAGCCTCCGTTGTTCCTAAAATTCATCTTTTTATATCAGAGAACACGAACTCATCCCAGATAGTTTTCAGGTTGGGAGTTTCCACCATTAAAAATTACAAATTAGCTGGGTGTGGTGGTTTTTGGCTGTAATCTGAGGCAGGGAATTGTTGGGAGTTCAAGACCCACTTGGGCTACAAAGTGAGCTCAAGGAAAGCCTGAACTGCGTATCGAGACCCAGTCTTAAAAAAAGAAAAGAAAATTACAAATTAAAAAAAAAAAAACCCTACTGTGTACACAGGGTCTTCTGATTGTTTAGAGAACTGTAAAGGTGATTAAATCCCTGCCCTCTGGGGCTGACAGTTTTGCGGGTTTCTTTTTTTTTTATTAGTACGCGTTTGCAGTACAAGGACATGTGTTTGACACACCTTGGTTCTTTTTGTGTCTCCTTCCCCGGTTTTATAGATTCTGACACGGCTGGCCAGTTCAGAGTTCGGGTTTTCTGTGCAAAACTGAGAATGTCCTTTTCTCCTCTCTTAAGACCTGGGAGAGCCTATAGCTCAAATTCTCTTGCGGGTCCTCGCCTTCCTTGTCCCGGGGTAACTATGGGACAGATTGCTGAACCCACTTCCCTGTGGGTCTAGACGGTCATAATCTTACATGGGGTTTGTTGCCACAGGGAAAAACCCCTTGTTCCAAAAAACTAGTGAAACTCAACAAATGGAGATGCACGGAGGGCCGTGGTGCAAACTGGCCCACAGTGACTCCTCGGCCCTCGTGCTCGGCCCAGGCGACCCCAATCCCCAGAGGGCCACAGCCCTGGAAGGAAACTGCTCCATCAGTCCTGGCCACGTGTGACTAGAAACTGCTGCCCCGGCTATCTGGGAGGGGAACCCAGCCCACAGACCGCAGGGACAGACCACACCGCGAGAGCCACTTCCCCAGAGGTAACCCCAGCAGCTGGCACGGTGCAGAAGGGTTGAGCCGCAGGGATGGCCCTTTCCCAGGTGGCGGGGGACAGAGCCTTCTGACTGTCAAGCAGGGTTTGAAACACAGACAACGTGGGGAACTTTGTCATGCGGTCCCCACATCCCTACTTTTAGGATGCATTCATTTACTTTTTAATTTATTTATATTCTTTTAAGACAGGCTCTCTCTGTGTAGTTCAAACTGGCCTTGAGTTCACTATGTAGCCCAGGCTGGCCTCGAACTCACAGTGATCCTTCTGCCTCAGCCTCCCGAGTGTTAGGATTACAGGCGTGCACCATCACACCTGGTTTTTATGATGCTTTTAAGAGAGAAAACAAGTGGTTTCCCCCAAGCACCTGTCGACTCATTTCATCCTCTCAGCAGTTTCCTTTTTACATGTAAGGGGAAGTGACCCAGAGAGGGAGAATGACTCTAAACCTCACACAGCCAGAAGACTGGTACACCAGGTTTTCCTCATGCCCCTTGCCACTGTATGGTACTGCTTCTTCTTTTTTTTTTGAGACAGGGTCTTGCTACACAGTTCAAGCTGGCCTTGAGCTCGCTTTGTAGCCAAGGCTGGTCTCAAACTCGCAATGATCCTCCTGCCTCAGCCTCCCGAGTGCTGGGATTACAGGCGTGTACCACCACGCCCGGCTTGGCACTTCTTCTTGAGAGGAGGCTCTGAGACTCTAAGGAGCCTGGGAGTGCTATCACCTGACCTAGGGAAGCTAGCCCTGTGCCCGTAGGCAATTAGGAGACACTGCCCCCCCCCCCAGCTACCCTACCAGCAGCCTGCCCAGTCTGTGCCCCAGCTGCTCAGGCCAAACCTGTTGGCACACCCGTGGTCCACACATTCCTGCACCCCCAGCCCACCCACCAGAGGATCCACGCATCCCAGAACCCGTAGAGGATAGTGATTCCTCTTCGCATATCATGTTTGTTTGTTTTTGGTTTTTTTCCGGTACCAGGAATTGATTAGCATATCATTAAGATAGAATAATTCTAGTCTTAGTACAAGCCTCAAAATGTGTCCTGAGAAACACCCTGGAGGACTTGTAAAAAGTTAACTTTACAGTCGACTTTGCCCTGAAATGCTTCTCCAAAGACAAAGAACACCCGGGCCCAGATAACCACCTATGACCCTGCCGGGGTTGTTTCATCCCTTCCCTGGCCCTAGATATAAACATTGTAGCCATAAAGGAAATGTATGATTATCTATAGGGGGACATACAGAACAGAGTACAGAAAGTATACATCATTGTGGCTGGGCTCATGACGGAGGCCTGACCCGGTCACGTGGGACAAGGAAAACAACCTGTGGCCACCTATGTCAAGGGTGCAACATTCCAATCTGTTACCATAGAAACCAAAGGTGTATTTAAGGTGGAAACAAGGAAAGGCCAGCCACCCATGTTCCTGACCTGCTAGTTGGGGATGTGCAGTGACCCGTCTAAAATTCAATAAACTCTGTTTGCTCTAAATAGAGTTCTTCGGTCTTCCGTGGAATTCAGCCCGTTTGCCGCGACAAAACCACGGCTGGGAACTGCCAAGACCTTTCTGCTGTCCCCTCTGGCAGCTGTCCCCCGCTATCACTTCCCACCATAGCCCTGTGTCCTTCCCGCACTTTCCATACTGATTATAGGGGCTGGGGATTTAGCTCAGCGGCATAGCGCCTGCCTGGCAAGCGTGAGGTCCTGAGTTCGATTCCCAGTACCAGAAAAAAACAACAAAAAAAAAGAAAAACAAAAACATACTGATTATAGTTGGATTTTTCCTTTGCTCACCTTGGGCTGCTTCCCAGCAGGCAGTGGGCTCTGTGGGGACAGGGTCACGTCTGCGTGGTTCGCCCCTGCCCTCCCAGGTCCTAGAACAGTGTGGGCCGCTGTGTAAATTCATATTGGATGAATGACTGATGGATCAGACGCAAAGGCATCTATGAACTTTCTCTGGCTTGCCCTGGGACCTCCCTGATACACCCTCATCCTCTGGAGCACCTCTGTCCACAGGCCGCTGACCCAGAGTCATGGACACTGCTTGTCTGTGCAAAGTGAGACAAGTGCTGCATATAAATATAACAGCTCCAGGGGCTCCCCTCCTTTTTTCCTTTTTTTTCTTGAGACAGGGTCTTGCTCTGTAGTCCAGACTGGCCTTAAACTCACTGGGTAGCCCAGGCTGGCCTTGAACTAGCAGCAATCCTCCTATCTCAGCCTCCTGAGTGCTGGGATTACAGGTATGCACCGCCTACACATATACAGCTTTTTTTTCTTTTTCAATTCTAGAGAGTAAACTCCTGAGGCTCCTAGGCTTGGTTATGCTGCCAGTATCTCTCTGCCATTTTTGAGGCCACATATGTGCATCTCAGAGTGCCTGTCCCTGCATTCCAGCATCTTCTGTAGGCTTGTGTCACCCCATGAGTCCCTGGGCAGGTGTGTCTTCCTTCTTTTTTGGTTGGGGGACCGAGAATTGAGCTCAGGACCTTACACTTGCCAGGCAGGCACTGTGCTGCTGAGCTATATCCCTGGCCCCTGTGTCTTCCTTCTTCCACATTTATCTGGCACACCAGGCACTGTCCCAAGGACTTTACATGGATACTCTCCTGTGATCCCACAGTAAGCAGGCATTGCTACTGTCACTGTCATCCTACAGATTAGGAAAGGAGGCCCAGGGAAATTAAGTAATTCACCCAGGGTCACACATCCTACAAGAAATGGAGTCTGGTGCCGAGCGTGGTGGTGCATGCTTGTAACCCCAGCACTCGGGAGGCTGAGGCAGGAGGATCGCTGCGAGTTCAAGACCAGCCTGGGCTACAAAGTGAGCTCAAGACCAGTTCTGAACTGCATAGGAGACCCTGTCTCCAAAATGACAAAAGAAGAAAAAAAAAAGAAAGAAAGAAAAATGGAGTTTGGCATGAACCAGCATGCATAGTTCTTGTTTTTTTTTTAAGTATGTGCTTCTGATACATAATAATTACATAATTTGGGAACTGGTACATATACATTTTTTTTTTTATTGTTCTTTTTGAGGCAGGGTCTACCTGTGCAGTTCAGGCTGACCTTGAGCTCACTTTGTAGCCCAGGCTGGTCTCGAACTCCCTGCCTCAGCCTCCCGAGTGCTGGGATTACAGGCATGCGCCACCACACCCGGTTCGAATCTTAATCATTTTATTTACTTAGCCTTCCCTTCCACTCCCTTCACCACTCCCCTATATACTGTTTGTTTGTTTTGTTTTTTAAGAAGGGGTCTAGGTCAGTACATTGCCCAGGCTGGACTTGAACTCAAAATCCTTCTGCCTCAGCCTTCCAGAGTGCTGGGACTGCAGGCCTGCACTCCACGCCCGGCTTATCACACACAGTCCCTGACCACTGTGGGTGCCGCCGGGCTCTGTGATCTGTCTGGGTGCAGTCCCATCTGTCTCCCTCCCGGCCCCTTGCGCCCCGGGTGGACGCAGGCTGGACTACAAGTCCCGGCAGCCCCTGCGCGGTGGGGGAGGACGTGGCCTCGGCGGCGGGCGGGGCTCAGGGCCGCACAGTGACTGCTGCAGCCTCGGACGCGCCAGCCGAGCAAGTGCCCGCCCCCGCCCTGCGACCAGCGCCCCCGCCGCCCGGATCGTGCCCGCAGGGGCCTCGCGCACTCCGGGCCGGCGATGAGCGCGAGGAGCCGCCATGAGCGCAGGTGAGTCCCTGCGAGGTCCCGGGGGACGCGATGACAGCCCCACCGCGGGGCCGCGAGCTGGGGCCGGGCACCCTGGTCGTCCTCGCCCATAAGGAACGCCTTCCTGCGCCCTCACTGGACCGCCGGGGCCCGAGGGTCCCTGCAGCCGGGAGCCCTCCCACCCCACCTAATCTGGCCCCGGCTGAGTGACAAATGTCCAGGCCCAGGAGTCTTGCGCCATCGTGGGCCTTTCAGCCGAATGAATGGGGCCGGTTGCCCAGGTCTCAGCAGTGCCCGGGTAAGACTGGCCTTGGGCCTGGTTCCTGCCTCAGGCTCCCGAGGAAGCCTGTCAGCCCAGATCCTAGGGCCACACCCTCCAGGGTCCCCCTCCCAGGCCGGGTGGCGCAGGTTCCCCTTCCAGAATCCAGTACAAACCCTCCCTGATGCATAGGAGCTCTGTAACCCTCTCCTGCCTAGAGGGTCTACAGACCCCTGCGTGTCTCTGTCTCTCCACTTCTCCCCCGGAAACCCCGCAGCCCAGGGTGCACCCAGGGGGCAGGGAGGAATGGACGAGGAAGAGGGCTGGCGTGCAGCTCTGCCGCAGAGCATCCCCAGCACTGCAAAAATGAATATAAGCAGAGAACGAGGAAAGCAGCCCCTAGACTCTAGGTTAGATTCAGGTTCAGGCAAACACACCCACCGCAGCGTGGTGGAGGGGGGACTGGACGGAGGGACGCTCCTAGCCACTGGGGAGCCACTGTGAAGTAGGAGCGGCTGCCCTGGACCGCTGCCAGGTGCCTGGCAGGAAGCAGGGGCTTCTGCAGGAAGCAAGAGGCCCCCAGATGGCTTTGACTCCAGCCGTCTGCGCTGCAGTGCTGCTGTCATTGTCCCAGGGCTGTGAGCTCACACCAGTTTCCTGTGTAGTCTTAGTCTCGGCCACACAGAGCAGTGAGATTTTTGTATGTGTTACCCAACCTCGCTGAGCCTCCTTTTCTTCTTTCTTTTTTTTTTTTTTTTTTTTTGCGGTAGTAGGATAGAACCTGCAGCCTTATCCTGCTAGGCAAGCTCCGCCATGGAGCCCTGTGCCTCATGTCAAACGGGAATCCTCATAGTCGCTTGCTGTGGGTGGCCGCGAGGATGAACTAGGATGTGTTCATTCAGATCCGCTCATTCCCAGCCTCTCTCCCTTGCAAGTTTCTTGTTTTTCTTTCTTTTTGAGACACAGCTCTTGCTGTGTGTTTTAGGCAGGCCTTAAACTCAGTGTGCATCCCAGGTAGCCCTGTACCTCTCCGTGATCCTCCTGCCTCAACCGCCCGAGTGCTTGGATTACAGGCGTGTGCCGCCACGCCCGGCTTCCCCTAGCAAATTATATGAGCTTGGGTGGGGGCCCTCGCAGCTGTGTTCTCAGTTTCCTGACACTGCCCATAATCTCCGTGCTACCCAGCCTGTGTGAGCCTGCTCTGGGCTGGCCCAAACTGGTGAGATCTCATCCGCCTCCGTGAGGCCGCCCTGGAGGGCCGAGCCAGGGGTAGAGATAAACAGGCCCACTGGGTGTTTTGACAGGTGCCCTAGCTTGACTCTTGCTAAGACTCTATAGAGGTTTCCTGGGTGCCACTTCCTCCTCCTGCTCAAAATTTCCTCCGCCCTTATCCTCCCAAGGTTGTCTGGGAGCATGTCCTCATCCCTGTGGAAAGATGGGCGTGGGCCTTCCCAGGGAACGAGCACTGCTTAGATCCTGGGGTGCACAGCAAGGGCTGCTTAGGAAGAGATCGGAGCCTGTGCCCCTCTCCGTGGACTGACCCCGGGCCGGGGGGGGGGGGACCGGCGGAACCTGGCACTCCTGGCTCCATGCCCTGCTGTGTGCATTCATTTGTTCGTTCATTCATTCAGTACACAGCCAGCACTGTGAGCAGGGCCAGCGACACCACGGTGCCAGCCCGATGGGGTGGGCAGAGGGGACGGGGGAAGGTGGAGCCTTTTCCTGCACGGAGACCAGTTTTTGGCTCAGTGCTGTCGTTGGAGAAGAGGGGACACAGCCCCCCAGCTTGTGTGATGGGATCAGGTGAGATCAAAGCTGGCTTCTCTCCCATCCCCTTGGAGCACCACAGGAGGAGGCCACAGGAGGAGCTCAGCCGTGGCTTCCCACGGTGACTGGAAGGGGAGGAGAGCCTGGGAAGTGGGTCAGGGCAGAGGCCCCGCCTCCCGGGCGGGGAACCACTCCCCACCCCCATCTGTCCAGGCTGAGGCCTCAGGGACTTGAAACCCCCCGGGGCTGGGGCTGCGGCCCCTCCCCATCGCAGTGTGCACAGTGTGTGTGCAGAGTCCTCTGTGATCAGCTTCTGAGAGGTGGGAACTGCACGCCCAGGGAGGTGAAGGCTTGTGCCTCAGCTTGCTGGGAAGAGAGCCGGGAGCACATCGATGAGAACACTGGTGATGATGTGTGGCTGTGGGGGCGGCTTACCTCTGTACCTCAGTTTCCCAGGCTGTAAAATAGGAAGGAACGTCATCCCTGGTTCCTGGAGTTGTGGGGAGGAGTATGAGTGAGTGGATGGAAAGTTCTTAGACTGGGACCTCCCTCAAGCCCCCGGGGACCCCAAGGACCCCTTCCCTGTCCTTCATGGAAATGTCCCGAGCACATCCTGGAAGGTAAGAACTCCCCACCCTGCTTCCCTTAGGGCACCCGTCCCAGATAGTAAAGGGCCCCGGGCAGAAATCTCAGAGACTCATGTGCCAGCTCAAAAGAGGCAAGAGCCAGGCGTGGTGGCACACGCCTGTATTCCCAGCACTGAGGAGGCTGAGGCAGGAGGATGGCCTTGAGTTTGAGCCCAGCCTAGGCGAGTAGCAAGACCCTGTCTCACAAACACAGAACAAAACAAACAAAAAAAAGCCCTGTGGCTTGCTGGTAACCTAGGACCTGTAAACCTGGCCTTGCCAGACGAGGAGAATCATCCTAGATGCCCACTCCACTGCCCCTACCCAGGCTCCCACCATAGGCTCTGGACCAGGAAACAGAGGCCTTGGCTGTGCCTTGTCTGCCGGTCAGGAAGTGAGGGAGCTGATGTTCTTTGTCCGACTAACCCTGCCATTGGTGTCTGTGTGTGTCTCTCTCCGTCCTGAGACCAGCTTCCCTAGGGACGGCCACAGGTGGGGCTGTGTTCCTTTGGCTTCTGAGTCATCAATGAAAGAGGCTTCAGTGGGCACAAGGCATGGGCCCCGTGGTTGCAGAAGAGTCCAGACTTGCAGAAGAGTCTCTGTGAGTCCGGAGCCCCACTCTGGGCTCCGACCTCCCAGCTGCAGTACTGTCCCAGGAGCCTTTGTGCTCCTGTGGTGCTGCGGGGCGGGTCCCTGAGCAGCTCCTGTCCCTGGGAAGGGCTTGGCGGGTCACCCGCTCTCACTGCCCGCATGGTCGTAGCGGTTATCGTTTCCATCCTTCCAGGAACGGATTTGGGGGCTGGGATGGGACAGGAGAGGACTGCGGGGCCTGGTGGGGGACGTGTAGTCCCCAGCCCACCTGGGGTGTAGAGCTGAGAGGCCCGGGTGAGCCAGCGCTGGGGTTGAAGTCTCAGCCTCAGGTGGCAAGGTCACTCTCAAGGACGTAGCGGAAATCTCTTGTCATCTTTCACCTTCACCTGTTGCTGCCTCTCGGTCGGCGCAGTGGTGGGGCAGGTAAGGGTGGGGACGCTTGTCAGGGCCCCGAGACTCAGCACATGGAAAGCGGGTGAGACGCCAAAGGGACACAGCCTGGCACCAGAGCCCACCGCGTCCTTACTCAGGATTCCTCTGAAAATGAGCGGCCCTGTCCAGTGGCTTCGAGGCTGGAGGAGCTGTGACTCCGCCCTGGCGATGAGCCCAAGGCACAGAGCCCGTGGCTGGAATCATTAAGGGGAACAGAGCAGAAGGAACAAAGAGGCCTGGCTCCGTGTTGGCGTCCAGGCTCCTGCACCAGACTAGGTTACCAACACCCAGGCTTCATGTGAGACAAACACAAAACAAAGATCAACAACGACATCAACAAACCCAGCCTGGAGTCAGCCCGCCTGGGCTTGCCTCCTGGAGCTACATATGCCTCCTGTGTGACCTTGAGCAAGTTACTTGACCTCTCTGAGCCTCTCACCTTCTGTAAATGGGGTAATAATCACTGTTATCTGGCAGTTGCTGTGTTAACCATATGCGAAGGGTCGGGAGCAGAGCCCCCCAGCAATGAGGAATGCAACTCGTATGATTTCTTTGTGTGTGTCGTGGGGGAGCCACTGAACAACACCCCAGGCCCCATTAGTATGATGTGGACACAGGAAGCTGTCTGGGGATAGAGCGGATGAGGGATCTCGGTGTTGGGACTGTGGTAGTTGCTCCGGACTCTCTGGACTTGTTGGCTGGGAACTATCATAAGGGCACAGATTAAGGGGTGGAGGTAAAGGGGGAGCCCAGGGAATCAGCAGCCTGTCCTGCACCCACCCTGTTTCCCCAGCCCCATAGAGAACTGTCCAGGGGCCACCTGCTGGCAGCGGGTGACACCCAAGGAACCCAGCCAGGAGGTGCAGGAGGCACTGGGCGCCGGGCACCTGCATGTCTCGAGGGTCCGGCACGAGTCCCAGAGCAGGAGCAGGGAGCCCCACCCTCTCTAGTGCCCAGAACACCTGCCCTGCTGGGACCACGGCCCTGCACCCAGGAGGGAGCCTGGAGAAGACGGTCCACAGTCTTCATGCTGCTTTCAGCCTCAGTTTACCCATCTGCAAAAATGGCCTCAGAGGCCTGGTGGTGACTGTCTGGAGTCTCCCCAGCATCTCCGCAGCTCGGACTCCTGCCCTCGGGCTGCGGTGGAGCTGGAACGGAACATTGGGAGCTCAGTGCTGCGCCCCCAGAGAGGGGCAGCCACATGAGAAGTGCCTTGCTGAGTAAGGACCAGCAGAGTGACCGGATAACAGACCCAGAAAGGCCGGAGCTGCCACCTTCATCAGCCCCAGTCACAAACCACATCTACAAAACGAACCCAACCAGCTGTGCGTGGTGGCTCACTCCTATAAACCCAGCACTCTGGGAGGCTGAGGCAGGAAGATCACAAATTCAAGCTCAGCTTGGGAACTTACCAAAACCTTGTCTCAAAATCAAAAAAATCACTGGGGATGTAGCTCAGTGCAAAGTTCCTGGGTTTACTCTCCAGTAAGGTCCCCCAAGAACAGGAAGGTCCCCCCCACACACACCGATTCTCATTTCTGTCCACAGACAGCAGCCCTCTCGTGGGCAGCCCGCCCGCCAGCTATGGGACCCTGACGATAGGGACGTCAATCGGTCCCCACAGCTCCTCAGCTTCATCCGTGGTATGTGACAGCCTGGGCAGAGGGGTATGAGGCCGGGGCACCCTGGCCACCCCCTCCCACCCAGGCCGCAGCCCACCGGCCTCTCGCCTGTGTCTGCAGAGGCTCAGTGGCTACTGTGGCAGTCCCTGGAGGGCCATCGGCTATCACGCCGTGGTCTGGGTGCTGGCCGGGATCCCCTTGCTGCTCTTCCGCTGGAAGCCCTTGTGGGGGGTGCGGCTGCGGTTGCAGCCTTGCAGCCTGGCCCGCGCCGAAACACTCGTCATCGAAACAAGAGACAAAGAGGTGAGAGGCGGCCTGGCCTGGGGCTGAGTGGCCAGGGTGGGTGCAGGGGATGCCAGGGTACCCAGCCTCGCCTGCTGCTGGCTCTCCACGGGATGTGGACCCCAGCATTCCCATCTGATCGGGGCACAGAAGCAGCTGGCTGGGTAGTTTTTATGGGGCTCACCCTGCCTCTAGCAGGGGCTGTGGCTGAGGGAGGGGGCCGGGAAGAGAGCCTCCCTTCTAGGCCTGAGGCCGTATTTCTATGTCCCAGGATAGCACATGGCAGCTCTTCACCGTCCAGGTGCACACTGAGGCCATCGGTGAGGGCAGGTGAGGCAGCTCGGCGTTCCCCCTGTTGGGGCCGGGGGCTCTGTGGGGACAGGAAGGGGCTGGGGCAGCTCCTGGAGTTGCAAGGTGACCCCCAGCTCCCTCCACAGCCTGGAGCTGCCCCTGCAGGCGGAGGATGGCCGCAGTGAGGTGGCCGTGGGGGCAGTGCCTGAGGCCACGTGGAAGGACACAGCCCAGCTCCGCAGGAGGGAGGAGGCAGTAAGTGGATAGCTGTGTCCTAAACAAGTCCTCGTCCCTCCCTGGGTTCAGCCCTGCACTCTATGCCATGAGAGGTTTGGTTCTCACGCGTCCACCCAGCCAAGACCCTCCCCGTGGGCCCGGGCCACCTCTTACCGGCCTCCCCTCCCCACAGAAGCAGGTGGCTCGGTATTACCTCTTCCAGGGCAGGCGCTACATCTGGATTGAGACCCAGCAAGCCTTCCTTCAAGTCAGGTAGGAGCTAGGGCTGACGCCACCCACGTTACCTCCCAGAGGGCCTGGCTTGGGCAGAGGGGACAATGGCCTGGCCTTCCCTCTTGTTCTTCTGTGAAACTTCAGGAAGGTTATGGAGCTTCTCGAAGCCTGGGCTTGGGCTGTAAATCGGGGATGAGATGATCTCTGCCTCCCGGGGTTATTTCAAAGGTGGAACGTGAGAATTTACACAAAACTAGACATAGCTGACCCAAGGTGGCTACATTGCTGTGACCAGCGTATGGCCCTCGCTCTGCCTGCAGAGTCAGACGGGAAGGAGACCCCAGGCAGCAGTGGGGAGTGGAGCAGGGAAGGGAGCGCTAGGGCCAGTGCTACTGTGAGCACCGGGGGTGCAGCCCCAGGACGTGTGTTAGAGTCCCAGCCAACAGACCTCTGGGAGACCTCCCCCAGAGAGGGAGGGGCTGGGACACTTACCCATCCGCTCCAGGGTACCCTGGGGACTCAAGCTCTTCTGCCCTTAGGGCGCACAGGCTGGGTGTGCTCACCAGCCCGGATGGTCCACTGTGCAGGGCAGGTGCCCTGGGGTGGGGGTGGCACCATCGCCCTCTGCCGCCCAGGAGGAGAACAGCATGTCCATTGTCTCATGCAGTGCCCGGTGCTCCCACCCCTCCTGGGTGCTGACACTGTCCCTATTTTGGAAGGCAGCTGTGCTCAGCACTGTACTGACTCTATTTTGAAGATGAAAAACAAGGCCCAGAGAGGTTAAGTGACTTGCCTAAGTGTCAGTAACGCTGCTGTCACTAAGAGCTGCTCACGTCACCCTTAGTATTATCGTCATCTCATTGTTCTCCTTCCTTGGTGAGATGGTTGGAGAGAAACAGGAAGAAGGAGAAAATTGAGCCCCAAGTTCCTGACAGGAAGTGCTTTTTCCTGGGAGCTTAGAGTGGCAGAAGGGGCGGGTGGAACTCAGACCCACAACACCAGTGTCCCCACCTCCCCCACCAGCCTGCTGGGCCATGGCCACACCTGCGACGACATCCACGGCTCCCGCTCTGGCCTCAGCCTCCTGGACCAAACCGTGAGGTGGGTGCTGGCCTGGGCCTGTGTCCCTGAGAGCTGAGGGTCCCCCCACGGTGCCTTCCCTGGGCCCCAGTTTCCCCAGCTTCACAGCCCTGGGAGGGTCTAGCTGTCATGGTATCCCTCCACCTGACAGCTTGGCCACCAACCCTCTTACAGGAAGAAGATTTTCGGGCCCAACGTGATCAGCATACCAGTCAAGTCCTACCCACAGCTCCTGGTGGACGAGGTAGGGGCGCCTCTGCATCTTGCGCTTGCGGTGGCCTGGATTTGCTTCGTGTCCTTGGCTTTGGCTTTCTTCCTCTGGGACACTTCACAGTGACATCAGACAGCTGTCCCCTTCTCCGTAGTGGGTAATGGAAAGTTGTCTCCCACTCAGCTCAGTCAGCTCAGCCGTGAGAGACTAGGGCAGGGACTTGGAGGGTCCGCAGAAGCCTTGGGCCGGAGGCAGACCCAGCCTGCGTGGAAGGGACAAAATCATGTAGCCTGGGACGTGCAGAAGGCGACATGCTAGAGCCTTCCCGGGGACTGGAGCAGCCCTGGGAGTAGGGACCAGGCCCATACTCCACACCTGAGGAACCCAGGCTTCATGGCGGGGACAGAACAAGGGCAAGGTCATTCAGAGACAGAGGGAAGCCAGTGACCCGGACATGTCTAGAGTAAAATAACATTGCGGTAGACACACTGAAAGGCAGAAGCCTGGGAATCTGGCCGCTGTCACCCGAACAGTGCCTCAGGAGCTGGGTGGTTTTAGGCCAGTTCCTCAGTTTTCTCATCTGTAAAATGGAGCTGAGGTGACACCCGCCTGGTGGAGCTGTCATCAGTATTGTATGACACTTAGGTGAAGTGCTTGGCGCAGGGGGCTCAGCAAAGGCCCGTGTCCTCTTTAGCTTGGAGAAGCAGGCTGCTTCAGGGGCATCCGCTTGGGTGCGGGTGGTCCAGGGGCGGAGAGAGGCCTGGCTTCCCTCTGGCAGCCCCTGTGCCCTCCACTCCAGTGGCCCGTGCCAGGTTTGCCCGGGGACGCTGGTCCTCACGCTGCCTCCCCCCCGTCATAGGCGCTGAACCCCTACTACGGGTTCCAGGCCTTCAGCATTGGGCTGTGGCTGGCCGATCACTACTACTGGTACGCCCTGTGCATCTTCCTCATCTCCGCCGTGTCCATCTGCCTGTCCATGTACAAGACCCGAAAGGTGAGCGGGCGAGGCCAGCAGGCGTGGCAGGGGCATCCCCCAGGGGCTGCCACCCTCCTGCTCTCTGTCTTCCTTCTGCCCACAGCAAAGCCAGACCCTGAGGGACATGGTCAAGTTGTCCGTGCGAGTGCGTGTGTGCCGGCCCAGGGGAGGTGAGGTGCCGGGGCTGGCAGGGGACCAGGGAGGTGGGAGGGGAGGAGGCCATACTGAGCTCCACCTGCCCTCAGGGGAGGAGTGGGTCGACTCCAGTGAGCTGGTGCCAGGAGACTGCCTGGTGCTGCCTTTGGAGGGCGGGCTGATGCCCTGCGACGCCGCCCTGGTGGCTGGTGAGTGCATGGTCAACGAGAGCTGTCTCACAGGTGAGCCCAGCCCCCGGCCCACCCTCCATCCTCTCCCTGACCCCTTACTCCCAGCCCTCTGCCTTGCAACAGAAGTTCTAGCTTGAGTTTTCTTACCCATGTCCTTTTAAATAGCAGTCCTGGCTTCAGCACTTGTGATCCCCACACCCTTGAACTATATCGCTTAACTGTCTGTGACTCTATTTCCTTTTTTTTTGTCTTTTTGAGACAGAGTCTCGCTATGCAGTTCAGGCTGGCCTTGAGCTCACTTTATAGCCCAGGCTAGTCTCGAACTCACAACAATCCTCCTGCCTCAGCCTCCTGAGTGCTGGGATGACAGATTTGCCCCACCACACCCGGCTGTGACTTTGTTTCCTATCCTGTAAAATGGGGTTCTCAGTCTCTCGTAGATAGGGTGTTTGGAGTGCCCAGCGCATGCAGGGCGCAGAGGAAGCACCCAACATCTGTGAGCTGTCCATGGCAACATCTGCCTTCCTGACCTAAAGACTGCAAACCACTAGGAGAATGTGGCGCGCGGTGTGGGCGGGGCGTCCATTCATTGCCCTGACTCCGAGCACACGTTTTGTGTATAATGTGTGGACAAAGGTGAATACACTTCCGGTCTACACGTGGGATCCTGCTCCTGTGCTGTGTGCTTCTGAGCAGCGTGCGACCTGGACCCTCGGCCGCACAGCGCCACCTCGAGATGCATAAGAGGCACTGGTGCTGGTGGATGGTGACCCCCTTTTTTGTAAAGGATCATTGCTCTGCCGGGCAGCCTGTCCAGGGCTGTGGAGAGGTTCTGTCACATCCCCGTGTAAACACCCTTGCTGATTTGAATATAAAAGTAATATGGGCTTGTGCTGGAATAATTCCAGCAGGAGAAAGGCTCCTCCAAACATCGCTCCTCAATACACATCCCCAGGGCTGGTTCCTGCTCGCTGGCTGCCACACCCCACGCCCCCAGCACGGTCTCACTGTGTCTTTATTTCTTCTGCCTTCTCTGAACCTCAGTTGCCCCTCTGTGAAATGGGGCTAATTTTTATTCATGCCAGGTTACAGAGCTAATGAGGCCATGAGCTAGTGGGGTGATCTTACATAGAACTCCTGGTTTCCCTGATGGGAGGGAGTGACCCAAGGGCCCCCTCCTGGGCTTCACACCATGCCCCTTCCAGGAGAGAGCGTCCCGGTGCTCAAGACGGCTCTGCCAGAGGGGCCCAGGCCGTACTGCCCAGAGGTTCATCGGCGGCACACGCTCTTCTGTGGGACCCTCATCCTGCAGGCCAGGGCCTACGGGGGACCTCACGTCCTGGCGGTGGTGACCCAGACAGGTGCATATGAGGAGGCAGGGAAGAATGCTGGGCTCGGCACCAACAGGAGGTGTCACGGGGCAGGGCGGGACCCAGAGCCCCCACCCGCACACCCACCTCTGCCACGGCCCTGCTGTGGGCGCTCGGTCAAGTCCCACTCCGCATGGACCTCAGCGTCCTCCTGTGAACAGGAAGAGTTGGGCCGGGCTGGGACAAGCACTTCAGTGTCTGCAGAATCCAGCAGGGGATATGAGTGCCTGGGGCACGCAGGAAAGAGTCCACTCTGAACCCGAACTGTGAGAGGAAGGGCCCCATTTTTAGATTCTGTCCACTGATGCCATTGTTTGAAACCCTACAAAGGCTGGGCAAAGCCTGGGGGCCACTGTCTGACCCCAACAGGGTGACAGCTGACGGAGTGAGCATGGTGTCTCGGCACCCCAGGGTGCGGGTGGGGTGAGTGAATGGGGAGCCTCATCCTCACATGCTTCCCTGCTGCGGTGTCCCCCGTCTCCCAGGGTTCTGCACAGCTAAAGGGGGCCTGGTGAGCTCCATCCTGCATCCTCGGCCCATCAACTTCAAGTTCTATAAGCACAGCATGAAGTTCGTGGCTGCCCTGTCTGTCCTGGGTGAGTGGGCCCCTATACCCCACTCTGCCGGTGGCCCCCAGCCCGGGACCAAAGTCCCATTCATCCCTCGCTGTCTCCCCAGCTCTGCTCGGCACCATCTATAGCATCTTCGTCCTCCACCGCAACCGGGTGAGCTGCAGGGGTTGGGGTTGGGTGGGGACCCGCAGCCGGCTGGGTCAGCCCCAGGCTGCCGGACGCTCACAGTACTTCCTGCCAGGTGCCTGTGAACGAGATCGTGATCCGGGCGCTGGACCTGGTGACCGTGGTGGTGCCGCCTGCCCTGCCGGCTGCCATGACCGTATGCACGCTGTACGCCCAGGGCCGCCTGCGCGCACAGGGCATCTTCTGCATCCACCCGCTGCGCATCAACCTGGGCGGCAAGCTGCGGCTGGTGTGCTTCGACAAGGTGGGGACCGCTGGGTGCAGGCCGCGCTGTCCTTGGGGGCCGCACTCACCCCCACCAGCTCAGGGTCTGGCAGATAAAATTTGTTCAAGACCTGGTGAGGGGCCCGCTGTGCACCGGGGCTGCTTTTAACCCTGCGGTCCAGCAGTGCCCACAGATATCCCCACCAGCTACGAGGGCCTCCTGTCACCCTCGGCTACACCCATCACCTCTATGCCCTTCCAGCATCTTCTTAGCTGCTTATTGCTGGAGTTTCCTTTGCTTGACACAGGCTGCTTTCCAGGAGACGGTTCTTTGGGGACAGAACCATGTCCCTGTGTGTCCCCACATGAACAGATGGACCAGGCAGTGAACCCACAGGAGAGATGCGGGGCGATGGGTTTAGGGAAGAGCAGGGGCGCTGTGGTCAGCAGTAACTGTGGGACACGACCTCCAAGAGAGGGCAGTTGGGGCTCCCGTGGGCACGCCCTGCAGCGGCACCTGGGTGACCTGCCCCACAGTGAACAGTGGGGTGACAGCAAAACAGGTGCCAGAGGCTGCAGGCTGGACAGGTCTGGGGCCGTGAATTGAGGAGGGACAAGATCAAGAGTTGCACAACTCCAGGCTGGCGAGGAGCCAGATGGGCAGCAGGACAGGTGGGATCCCCTGGGAAAGGCAAGCACTGGTTTGGTCCTCATTCGGTGAATAGGTTGTGTGCTTACTGTGGCCAGCTCTTCCATGGGTGGGGGCCCAAAGCAGGCACCACCTGCCCAGGCTGGGAAGTGAAGAAAGACAGCTTCCTGGAGGAAATGCCAGGCAGAGAAATCAAGTAGGGGTGACCCGGCGGAGGGGGTGCCCCAGCCGCTGAGTGAGTCCCCAGGAACTGCATGTGCAAAGGTCCTGAGGCAATAAAGGGTCTCCCCTGGCGCCAGCTCTGATTCCTGGGCCCCCAGGGTACCCACCCAGCCGGGGGCAGGACATAGCTCATCCCAGGACCTGTCCTTGTCCCTCCATAGACAGGCACCCTCACCGAGGACGGCTTGGACGTGATGGGGGTGGTGCCCCTGAAGGGGCAGGCGTTCCTCCCGCTGGTCCCAGAGCCCCGCTGCCTGCCCATGGGGCCCCTGCTCCGAGCACTGGCCACCTGCCATGCCCTCAGCCGGCTCCAGGACACCCCAGTGGGCGACCCCATGGACCTCAAGATGGTGGAGTCTACTGGCTGGGTGAGGCCATCCCATCCCCGGTGAAGGAAGCTGCCCCGGCATCCTAAGTCCAGTCTCCTGCTGCCTCCCTGCCTGGACCAAGGCCCCCAGCAGCCAACCTTCTCTGCCTGCCTCCCAGGTCTTGGAAGAGGAGCCAGCTGCCGATGCAGCACTTGGGACTCAGGTCTTGGCAGTGATGAGACCCCCACTTCCTCGGGAGCCCCAGATACAAGGAACAGCGAGCCATGGGGTTCCTGCCGAGGACGGGCCCGGGGGTGGCCTCCATAGCCAGCCCTCAGCTCCTCCCACCCTGCAGGAGCCCCAGGTGCCACTCAGCGTCCTCGGCCGCTTCCCGTTCTCCTCCACCCTGCAGCGCATGAGTGTGGTGGTGGCATGGCCGGGGGCCGCTCAGCCCGAGACCTACGTCAAGGGCTCCCCGGAGCTGGTGGCCAGCCTCTGCAGCCCCGACACAGGTGCGTCTGCTGGTTGGGCGCAGGGTGTGTGTGGGGGATCCCGCCTCCGCCTGCACCACCCTGTTCCAGTCATACTGCCTCTCGACACAGTGCCGGGCGACTTTGCACAGACGCTGCAGAGCTACACGGCTGCCGGCTACCGCGTGGTGGCCCTGGCTTGCAAGCCGCTGTCCATCGCCCCCAGCCTGGAGGCCGCGCAGCAGCTGTCACGGTGAGCCCCCCAGGCTCGCACAGGCTGAGCCCAGGGAAGATGCCCCTGCCCACTGCCTGGGAAGGGGGCCGTGACCACTGCGTGACCTGTGACCCACGTCTGCCCACCCCTCAGGGACACCGTGGAGCAAGACTTGAGCTTCCTGGGGCTGCTGGTCATGCGGAACCTGCTGAAGCCCCAGACAACACCGGTGATCCAGGCTCTTCGGAGGACGTGCATCCGCACCGTCATGGTGACAGGTGCGATGGCCTGCAGGGCCCGGGTCAGGAGGGTGGGGTCTGCCCTGTCCGAGGCAGAAGGAAGTGCACCCTCAGCAGTCCCTCCTCGGTCATCTTTTCACGAATCTCTGCAGTGGTAAAACTCACAAATGTAATTGTCCCCCACAGTGACCGATGGGGAAAGGGAAGCTCAGCAGAGTGGAGCGACTCCCTAAGAGGCTGGGCGTGGTTCAGCCTGGGGACTCACTCTGGCTGGGGGACCCCTCTGGGTTCTGGTTTCTGCTTCTGACAAATGGGGATAATGATGTCAGTCGCCAAGGTGTGACAGTCTCGTGGGGTGAGAAGATCCTAGAAGCACTGTGTCCTCGTGCCCCCAGCCCTTACACGCACGTGTGCACACACTGTCCGGCAAAGTCACACAGCAGTGCGTGGTGTCTGGGCAGCTCCAGCCCATCGTTTCTCCTAAGATCCTTTGTTTTTTTTTTGTTTGTTTGTTTGGTTTTTTTTGCTTTTTCCGGTATCGGGAATTGAACTCACGACCTCGTGCTTTCCAGGCAAGCGCTGTGCCTCTGAGCTAAATCCCCAGCCCCTCTCCTAAGACCCTTTGATACCTTGCTTTATGTCTGAGGAAACGGAGGTCCCGACATGAGGCTCATTCACCTAAGGCCGCTCTGCTGCTGCTGGCAGACAGGACTCATCAGCTTCCCCATCTGCAGGAGGGGCGGTGTCCCTGGATGGCTTTGACCTTGACCCTGTCCTGCACCCCCTAGGGGACAACCTGCAGACAGCAGTCACTGTGGCCCGGGGCTGTGGCATGGTGGGCCCCCACGAGCGCCTGGTGATTGTCCACGCCACCCACCCTGAGCAGGGGCGACCTGCCTCCCTCGAGTTCCTGCCTGCGGAATGCCCTGCCACTGCGAACGGGGCAAAGGTGAGGCTAGCCCAGAGTTCCGGCTGCACCCCACCAGTGACCCCAGCTTGTGTCACCCTACCTGGGCCCTAGCTCTGCAGGTTGGATGGGGGAGCTAAGCTGAGCTTCCTGGGCCCCCAGGATCCTGCCCAGGCTGAGAGCTACACCGTGGAGCCAGACCCGCGATCCAGCCACCTGGCCCTCAGCGGCTCCACCTTTGGTGTCCTCATGAAGCACTTCCCCAAGCTGCTGCCCAAGGTAGGGCAGCCCTGAGCCTGGCCTGAGCCTGGCCATCCACCACCACCACCACCACCACCACCCCTGCCTCCCCTGCTCAGCCCTGGCCTCAGCCCTGCCCCTCACTGTGCCCCCAGGTCCTGGTGCAGGCCACCGTCTTCGCCCGCATGGCTCCTGAGCAGAAGACAGAGCTCGTGTGCGAGCTGCAGAGGCTTCAGTGAGTGCTGGGGGGTGGGGGATCCAGGTGGGGTATACAGGGACCTGTTACCCTTCAGACTTGCTCAGAACTGGGAGTGATGGCACATATTCTCATCCCAGCATTCTGGGAGGCTGAGACGGGAGGATGACAAATTCAAGCAGTTTGTATAATTTCAGTATAGCAAATCCTGTCTCAAAATAAAACATAAGGCCAGGTATTGTGGCAGATGCCTGTAATGTGAGCACTCAGGAGGCTGAGACAGGAGGCTTCCAAGCTTGAGCCCAGTCTGGGCAATTTATAGTTTAATTTATCAATGTAGCGAAACCCTGACCCCAAATAAAAAATAACAAAAGGGCTGGAGATGCAGCTCAGCGCAAAGGCTCTGGGTTCAATCCCCAGTATTAAAAAAAGGCTCCCAGCAGGCTGTCCTGGATCTCTGTCCCTCTGTCCTGCCAAAAATAATTGCACTGACTTCCTGGGCACTGTGGGCACTGGGTGTCTGCGCCCAGCAGCAAGCCTGGGTGGGTTGGAGTCATTTCACAGGCCACACCCGCCCCCTCCTCACCAGGTACTGTGTGGGCATGTGCGGGGACGGCGCCAATGACTGCGGGGCCCTAAAGGCGGCCGATGTGGGCATCTCCCTGTCCCAGGCTGAGGCCTCAGTGGTCTCACCCTTCACCTCGAGCATGGCCAGTATCGAATGTGTGCCCACGGTCATCAGGTAAGGTGGGCAGGGGCTCAGGGTGGGGCACCGCACGGCCTGGGAGGGGGCCGGCCTGGGCCCCTGATGCCTGCCCCTGCTCCCTAGGGAAGGCCGCTGCTCTCTCGACACGTCGTTCAGTGTGTTCAAGTACATGGCCCTCTACAGCCTGACCCAGTTCATCTCAGTCCTGATCCTCTACACGGTGAGGCCTGCCGAGCTGCAGTGCGGGGAAGGCGCGCAGCAGTGCGGCCGGAAGTCAGGCGGCCCGGATGTGGGCTGTGGCTCGTCAGTGAGGTTCATGAGATGAAAGCGCTGGGCACAGCCCCGCGCACAGTAGGTCTTCAAAGATGGCAGCAAGTGACACGTGCTGGCCGCTTGTTCCTAATTCCAGGAGCTCCCTGTATGCAGGGGAGACTGAGGCAGAGCCCAGCTGGAGTAGGGTAGAGCCAAGATCCTGTCATGCCCATTTCCCATGGATCTACCCATTGCCCCCGCCCCCATGACCCTGATCCTGACAGTGCCTCTCCAGTCCTGCTCAGGAGGGGCCCGCAAAGTTCAGAGCTTGCTGCGAGCAGGAACCATGTGTCCCTGGTAGCCAAGGAGCTGCAGGGCGCAGCCTGACCCTCCGTCAGGCAGAGGGTTTACTGCAGGTGGGGAGAGATCCCTCATCGGAGTTAGGGCCCCAAGGGTGGAGCAGGAGAGACTCCCTGAAGGCAGGACACCGCTTCCCACATCAGACTAGGGGCTTAGCTGACATTAAGAGCTGCACCTCCCCCACCAGACTCGGGGTTCCCTGGAGAGAACTGCCCCCATCAGACTGCCGGGGGAAGGATGCCTCTCCCATCAAGCTCCCGAGGGACAGAGACAGGGCTCTCCTATCCTACCGACCCGGAGCAGGCCTGGGGGTGGGTGGCTAGCGCCAGGTCTCAGCTTGTGTCCTCTCTCCCCTGCCATAGATCAACACCAACCTGGGGGACCTGCAGTTCCTGGCCATTGACCTGGTCATCACCACCACAGTGGCCGTGCTCATGAGCCGCACGGGGCCGGCACTGGCACTGGGGCGAGCGCGGCCACCGGGGGCCCTGCTCAGCGTGCCCGTGCTGAGCAGCCTGCTGCTGCAGGTGGCCCTGGTGGCCGCTGTGCAGCTGGGGGGCTACTTCCTGGCCGTAGCCCAGCCCTGGTGAGTTGAGCTCAGCAGTCTCCCCGTAGTCCTACCCCTGTTCCCTCTGTGCACCCCCTTTCCCTGCCTGACCCTGGCTCTGGACCCCAGGTTCGTGCCTCTGAATAAGACCGTGCCGGCGCCCGACAACCTACCCAACTACGAGAACACGGTGGTCTTCTCCCTGTCCAGCTTCCAGTACCTCATCCTGGCCGCGGCTGTGTCCAAGGGGGCACCCTTCCGCCGGCCACTCTACACCAACGGTGCTGCTGCGGGGTGGGACGGGACTGGGCCGAGGGGGGAGGACGGGGCTCTGAAGAATGGGGGTGTCCCGGGTATGGCTCCCTCGCTGATCGACTCCCCCGCCCCCAGTGCCCTTCCTGGTGGCCCTCGTGCTCTTGGGCTCTGTCCTGGTGGGCCTCATCCTGGTCCCCGGCCTCCTGCAGGGGCCACTAGGGCTGAGGAACATCGCAGACACCTGCTTCAAGCTGCTGCTGCTGGGCCTGGTCGCCTGCAACTTTGTAGGGGCCTTCATGCTAGAGGTGGGGTGCAGACGGGAGCAGGGAGGGAAAGGGGGCGGGAGGATCCGGGGCTCCACCCCAGCCGCCCCTCCACTGCCCACTCCCTCTGCAGAGTGTGCTGGACCGGTGTCTGCCGGTCTGCCTGCAGCAGCTCCGCCCCAAACGGGCCTCCAAGAAGACTTTCAAGCAGCTGGAGCAGGAGCTGGCTGAGCAGCCCTGGCCACCACTGCCCACTGCTGGTGCGGTGAGGTAGCACAGGCTCGTGCGTGCCCTGGACACTGGACCTCCCTGCCTCTGAGCCACCAACTGGACCCTCTCTAGAGAGCCCACCGCTGGCGCCTGCTGCAGCCCTGAGGTTGGCTGTTGTCACGCTTCTGCCCTGAGACCACCTGGCCCAGCCTTCCTGCACCCCACCCCGGGGAAGTGCTGACTACTGTCCCCCACTTTAGATCATGCCATGTAGAAAAGGCAGCCACCACCTCCACCCAGAGCTGCTGTCGATGTAGCAAATAAAGTCAAGATATTTTCCTGGCTTGGCCGTGCTTGTATCATACCTGGGCACCATACTCCTCCCAGTGTCCGGCTGGCACCCCCAGGTGGGAGATCCCCCATTTTTCAGATCACATTGGAAAACTCTCCTCCCCAGGCTTCCTTTCCTCATCTCAAATATTAAGTGACGGCTCCTTGCGCAGTGCCTCGGTGGTGCATGCGTTGTCACCTGCAGTACAGCTGCAGGTGCTGTCCCTATCTACAGACAAGGAAACAGGTTGGAGGTCTCGCCAGTGATCAGAGGTGGGGCAGGTTGCTCAGCTCCACCTTTGTTCTCTTCACCCCCCCATCCCCCTTCCAGGGACCAGGAGCAATGGGCTCACTTCAGGCTGGTGCCCACTATGTGCCAGGACTAGGAGGCAGTGTCCTTCCTGTCCGCTGGCCACCCACACCCCCCCAATGTCACCCCCACATCCCAAGATGTGTCTGGCTCGTGCCCTCCCTTAGATACAATCCAGGCTCTGAGCCCAGGTCTCTCAGTCAGAGCCGTGTGCACCAGCACCAGGGAAGGAGGGGTGTGCCTGACCTCATCCCACCCACGGGCCACTCGCCAAGCCCCTCTGCTCTAGGGATGCAACTTGGCCCAGCTCATCTGGGCAGGGAAGACGGGAAAGAGGCTGCTTCCTGCCTTTCAGAGGCCCTGCCAGCCTCACTACTGGAGCCCCTGGTACGGTCCCCCGGCTGGCCTGTCACAGCAGGAGCTTGGGAAATACTGAGTCAGGCTGGCGAGAAGGGACGTGGCATGGCCTGGGAAGGGTAGTGTGGTACACACGTCCACAGGCCTTCTGCACTGGGTACCGGGTCACCAGCCAGTGACACTGGGGTGGCAGAGATAGAGAGGCCTGGGTCAAACCATTCCTCCATCCTTAGCCCATCCCTTATGAATCCCTTGGACAGGCAGGTGCCAGGCTCTGGCTGCTGCAGAACAGATAAAACGGTCTTGGTGTGGGCAGCTTCTAACCTCGCAGGGGAGGCTGGCAGGAAGGCGCAAGCCAAGTGCTCGCTGGAGATTAGCCACACCTACTGCACCCTCCCAAACTGCTGCCGCTCTGCTTGGGTCCATAGGGCAAGGGAGTGGACAGGAACGGGCAGGACATCGGAGTTGGCACTTACAGGCCTCAGTTTCCCCCCTGTATCGTGCCACCCAGAGGGCATCATTTCTACTGGGAAGTTTTCTCTCCCACTCCAGCGAGATTGGGCCTGACAGCGGTGAAGGCGAATACTGCTGCAGGGAGGGCGGGGCTGGCCCCAAGGCCCCCTGCCCTGTGAGTCACGGAAGTCCCTGCTATGTTGCAGTTAACACCAGGGTCAAGAACAGATACTCATTCATTTAACCGGCACTGGGGAACAAATGATGCGCAGGATCTATTTGGTTCCTAGTAGGACACCAAGCCCAGGGCCAGGAACCGGCATGAATGGACATCAGATGGCCAGAGGTCAGAGTTCCTCCCAGCCTGCAGCCCCACTCGCTCCTGCGTGAGGCCTAGGTTCTGCGGCCACACACGGCTATGGCCTGCCCCAAATCAGGAGCCTTGCAACCCCCACCACAGCCACCCAGTCAGTCCCTCCTGGGAGAACAGCGTGGGCAGCTCCTCCATTTACTCATTCGTTAAGCACTTCCCGAATGCTGCTCTGAGCCCAGCACTGTGCCTAAGGAGCAGAACTCCAAGATGAGCAAAATAGACCTCATCCCTACCTTCATGGGGCTGGTGACACTGCATAGTGCAATGGTCACAGAGCTAGGGCAACAAGAAAGCAACACTCGAGATGTCACAGGGAGAGGGCAGGCTCCTCCGCGGAAGGAAGGCTGGATCTGTGACCTGGGAGAGACCGCGACCATGTTCCAGGAGGCAGAGGCAGCTTGAGCAAAGCCCCTGTGGCAGGAGGGGAGGGGGAGGGGCCCATGAGAGACCAAGAGGAGGAAGAGCCAGGCTGTGATAAACGGTAGGGTCTGAAGTTCAGTCTCATTCTGAGGTACCATGGGGCAGCAAGCAGTGCAAGGCTTTAAGGACAAGCTGGAATGGGAAGGCGGGGTCCCCACCGGAAAGCCCAGACTGGAGGGGATCGATGTCCAGGCAGGAAGTGCTGGTACACAGTGGGAGCCCTGGGCAGACCTACAACGGGTATTTATAGGGAGAGCGGTGGCAGGGTGCTGGACAGGTAGCAGAGGCTGAGAGCAAGGCAGAAGGATGGTGGCCGCCCCTGCCACCGGGACAGTTCAGAGGGCAAGTCCGGGGGAGGGCCGGGAGCTTATCAGTTTGGACTTGGGTGTTTTTTGGGGTCTGATATGCTTTGGAGACATCATGGACCCCACGGGTAGCCTGTGACAGGACGGCCTGGGCTGAGGTGAGAGAAAGAAGCCCTGGTTAGTGAAGCCGGCCTGGGCCTGGACCCGGGCGGAGCAGTCGGAAGGTGGGAGACCAAGAAGGCTCCTTTGCCTGGAGAGGAGGGAGGACTCCACCGCCCCAGGGTGTCCGGGGACCCAGAGAGAGGGCCACGCTGTCTCCGCAGCTCAGCGGCCTTAGGGGAATGTGCTTGTGGTGCTTGGATCCCGCTCTGTGAAAAGGGGGAGCACACCCACCTGAGGCCTGGCGAGAACGAAGCCCTAAGCACCGGCCCGCTGTGC